TAGGTATAGGGCATACCGACACCAAATGAATTAGCTTAAAAAAATACAGCGGAAAATGTACTCAAATATGAAGGTGTTCTATTTAAAGTAAGTAACTTACATTATTTAAGTTGTGCTTGTTGGCGGCTAAGTTTAAAACACCCTGTATGAAATTTCAACGAGTTGGACATATGGAAGTAACGGACAAGCGCTTGTTATTAATTGGTTATAATTTCACTTCACTAGCTTCGTTATTAATAGATATTGTTATTCAATGTGATCTTCTTCTTCTTCTTCTTCAAGTGCCCTGTCCGTTGCGAACGTTGGCTATTAACATGGCAATTTTGATCTTGTTTGCGGCGCTTCTGAATAGTTCTACCGATGTGAGCCCGAACCACTTCCGCAGATTTTGGAGCCACGATGAGTGTCTTCTCCTGCCTGGCCCTCGCTTACTGTCTATTTTTCCCTGGACAATTAATTGTAGCAGACTTATCTACTCTCAAGTTGGAGTACCTCTATGTTGGTGACATGTTCGGTCCAGCATATACGAAGAATGCCCGGTACACCCACATTTCGAATGCTTCTAGTTTTCTTGTTAGCGTCTCCGTCAGCGTCCAGGCCTCCACGTCATACAGCAAGATCGGAAAAATGTAGCATGTAACTATACGTAGTTTTAGGGGAAGAGACAAATACTTGCTTCTGAGGAGCTTTTTCATATTGCTAAATGCTGCTCTAGCTCGTTCTATTCTCGCCTTAATTTCTATGGTCTGTTCCCATTTTGCATTTACGTTGATGCCAAGGTACACATAAGATTCTACATGGTCAATTAGTATGTTACTTATCCGTAATTGTCGAGCAGGTTGTTGCTTTTTGCTTATCAGCATCCATTTTGTCTTCTTGAAGTTGAGGCTCAGGCCGTATTCCTCACTAACAGAATAAAGTCTTTCCATTATTTATTGTAATTCGTCTATGGTGCTGGCAAGGATCACCGTGTCATCGGCATATCTTATATTGTTCGTTAACTCGCCGTTTATTTTTATGTCCTCATTTGCATTTTCCATACATTTGTTAAATATTTCCTCGGAATACATATTAAATAGGAGTGGGGATAATATACACCCCTGACGGACACCTCTTTTGATCTGCACGCTTTCAGTGATTTCGTTGCCAATTTTTGCTATTGCTGTTTGACCCCAGTATAGGTTTGCCACAATTCGAATGTTCTTGTCGTCAATACCTGTCTTTCGGAGAATACCTATCAATTGTTCATGATTGACATTGTTAAATGCTTTTCTAAAATCTACAAAGCACAAATACACGTCCTTATCAACGTCTCTACACCGCTGAATAAGCACCTGGAGAGCGAAAATTGCTTCTCTAGTTCCAAGTGCTTTCCGAAAACCAAACTGCGATCTATCAATATTTGACTCACATTTATCATATATTCTTGTATGAATGATCTTAGTGAATGCTTTAGTGACATGATTGATCAAGCTTATAAGCCGGTAGTCATCACAAATCTGGTCATTTGGTTTTTTCGAGATTGTAGTAAATGTTGACTGCAGCCAGTTCTCCGGGATTTTACCGCTATTATATATGTTGTTAAAAAGTACAACTAGATTATCAAGGAACTGTTTGTCTGATTTACAGAGGATCTTTAATATTTCGCAGGGTACATTGTCCGGACCTGCTAACTGCTAATTGTTTTTTAGTGCTGCAATGGCATCTTCTATCTCCTATCTCTCCTGGATTTAAGGATTGAATTCCTGTTTCTCCTTCTCCATATAGGTGATCATCAGTCCTGTCAGATGCAAATAATTTTTCTATGTATGATTTCCATGTTTTTAAGATCGTTGATGGCTCCGAGATAAGATTTCCATCGCTATCTTTTATGCTGTTGGGTGACTTATTGAATTTCCTCTTGTTTGTCATCTATTTTATTTTTTTGCGCAAATTGTAACTGTCGTATTTTCGTTCGTATTGTTCTATTTCCCTGCATTCGTTTCCCTGCATTTTTCTTTCGCTTCTCGAATATTCGTTCTTATGGTTTTGTGGATCTGCTGGTATTTTTCTGCATTTTTATTCTTGAATTTACGTCTTTCATCCATCATATCCATTATCTCATCAGACATCCATTCTTTCTTTTTCCGTCGGTCACGCTTTAATAGAGTCGCACATGTTGTTTGGATTGCTTCCCTCGATTTATCCCATTTCTCTATTATCTCCGACGTGTTCTCGTTAATGTCCTTTATTTCCAATGTGAACTAGGATTTTTTAAAAATTTTGAAAAATAAAATCAATATATCTCAAAAATACTTCATTGCTGGTATAGGACATTGCCCACAAATTTTACCTAAAATTTCATGTAGAATTCGAATATAAAATAAAAAATATTAAATTATATTTAAAATAAAATAGTTGACGTCTACTTCCGATATAACCGGAAGTGTCACATTCAGGACAGCATTATATTTCAACTCAGCGTCCAGTTGTCAGGGATTTGACCTTTAAAATCATTCGAATAAGCTGAATTTTACGGGGAATGTCAATTATGGGACCCCAAATAATATGCAAAGATTTTACCACCGGCATCATCCTAAACAGCCGCCTCGAAGTAAAGGAAACGAAAAAAATCGACTTATCAAAAATCTAACGGAGATAATTTTGAAATAAAATGTTTATTAGCACTTTTTGTGTAGAATAAACTGTTCTCTCAGAAATAACTCTTCAAGGTGGTTTTGAATGTCGGTTACGAATGCAAAATCAATTTTTTAAATAAAATTTGTATCAACTCGACGGTCAAAATTCGATATCTTTTGATCAGAGTGTCCTATTGGCAAAAATCAAAATACATTTTAAAGGTGAAAATTGCAGCTTTCGTATGACATTTTTGTATTTTCTCGCAAATGGTTTTTATAAAGGTGTTAAATATATAAGCGTTGCGCGAATCTTTTTCCATTTTTTACGTTTATCATGAGGTCAATAAAATTCATCACTCTCATTACCCGGTCGCAATGGAATTTACATTGCTATACTTTGTCTCAAAGTGGCTAGTCTGGACAGGAAAGATATGCAATGCTAACCTTATGGGAATTTCGCCTAGACGTTGCCAGTTTTATGCAGTGAGCGATGGCGTTGTCTATTGTCTATCTTGTCAAAATGAACGGAATAAACCAGGAGTTCTCAATTTTGATTGAAATACCAAAAATCATCTCGTAGCGTCATCGTTATTTACGCGCAATTCGTAAATACCGTGCAGAAGGATACAGCATAGTGTATTTGGATGAATCATGGGTAAATATCGGGCACAGTGTGAAAAAAGAATGGTTTGATAACACAATTACATCTCATCGCGATGCTTTTGTTCGTGGTCTGATAACAGGATTAAAAGCTCCAACAGATCCTGGTGCACGGTTCGTTTTATTGCACGCAGGATCTACCAGTGGATTTGTTGATGTAGCAGAGCTCACATTTTTGGCAAAGAAAACTACTGACCTTCGAAGATTGGTTCGAAAATAACTTAATGCTAAATTTACCAGAAAAAACTGTTGTGGTAATGAACGATGCCTCCTATCACAGCAGAAAGTCAGAACAAATTCCCAACAGTTCAACAGTAAAAAAAATATATTCAAGAATGGTTTCTGTCCTAGAAAGGACCTATTTTTTTTTAAGAAGACTACCTAAAATGTGACTTACTTGATGTAGTCAAAGCCTTCAAAGCAAAATATGACAGGTACATAATAGAAGATATTGCCAAAAAGCACAGTGAAGATTCTGAGGGTCCCACCCTATCACTGTGAACTCAATCTCATCGAAATGGTTTGGAGGGAAGTGAAACGGTATATAGCTGGGCGCAACGCGAATTTTAAAGAAGCTGAAATGCGAAATTTAATTACAGCAGCGTACTAGCTCATCACGCCGGAGAAATGGAAAAACTACGTAAACCGCGTAATAGCAACAGAAAAAAAATTGTGGGAAATTGACAATTTATTGGATGATATCAAACCAATTATTATAAATATAAATAATGGAGATAGTGATGGCAGTGACGATAATAATGATGATAATGATAGTTAAGCAGAAACTAAATGTGACAGCGATTGACAGAAAAAGGAACTAAATATAATCGTGTACAATTACGATTATTTACACACGAAATTAAATTAATACAATGACTTCTTTTATTTTATTGGAATAGAAAAGAATCATACTAATTTTTGTTTTTTTTTTCTTTCTGTTCTCTATGGATTATTCAAAACACACCATTAAAAAATGTCACAAATAAAATTTTACTATTTTATATAAAATCTTAAACTAAATTTTAAAATGTATTTTGTTCATTATTTTATATGTTATATTTTATGTGTGTTATTAATGTTGAGTGTCATAGCTTTATATAAATAATCTCAACGACTATGTCTTGAAAAAGGAATTAAACAATTATGAAAGCTAGACCAAAAGTCAAAAGGTTATATAGAGAATATATAATTCTTTTTATTAAGTATTACCTATCTATTGTATTAATAAGTACGTTTTATTACCTGTATACATTAAAAGTGTTATTTTCAGATAATCTTCACACCCTAAAACACATTTACCTCAAAGTACAATAAGCTAATAAAAGAAGATTATCGATTAAAATAAATATTTTATAAAATTTCGATAATAATGGAGAAGCCAATCAGTCACATCGATGTAACAGACGAAATACCTGAAGAACAAACTGGTCTTACACAAGAATCTAATAGCACATATAGAAATCAGGACAACGAGATGATATGTGGCTTAGGCCCATGTGCCCCAAACTGGCTACAAAAATTTGCCTCGAAACAGTCATTCCTAGTAGTTTTTTGTATAACTTGGGTGCTTCAAGGGATGTACCACACTTACTTCGTGAGTGCCATAACAACAATAGAAAAACTATTTCAAATCCAGTCAAAAATAACGGGTATTATAATGAGTGCCACAGAAATCGGGCAGATAGGATCGTCATTGCTGTTAACTTACTACGGAGGACAGGGTCACAGACCAAAATGGATTGCATGGGGTATGGTTTTATTTGCAGTTTCCTCATTCACATGTTCCTTACCACATTTTATTTACGGTAGGCATCTTATAAATGCTAACGAACTGACAGGTATCGTAAAAGATCCCAACATATGCAAGGCAAAATCTACACCATTCCTAGAGCTTTCAAATATTACTAGAATAGATAATTTTACAAAAGATAATCCAGAAGACTGTTATGAAGAAGTTATTACCTCCGGATATCGCTTAGCACCATCAGTGACAAATATTGTGTTAGCGATATTCTTTATTAGTTTATTGGGCGTGGGTATGGGCCAGACAGCAGTATATACCTTAGGGATACCTTACATTGATGATAATGTAGCTAGCAAAGAGTCGCCATTATATTTTGGTAAGTTATCTTGATGTATGTCATTCATTTGTCTAAATTAGTGAGGACTCTTGAGCTAGCGGGGGCAACTCTGAGCGGAATCCAATTTAACCCACTTAATATTTTTTCACCCATTTTTCACTAATTTATTACCACCCTAATAAGTTTAACCACCAAACCACCCTTAATGGGAGCGATTTTGCTGGCTTACGGTTAAAACTACTAGAATCCCAAAAAAAATATTTATGCTAGGTTGTTATGAATTTATTACCACCTTAGTAATTTTTTACCTGTTAACTACCCCTTACGGAAAGTCAATAATTCTGTTAGATTAAACTTAGGGAAACAATTTTTTTTCACATTCACTCTCCTTTACTTATAACTGAATAAAAAACGGTGTTTTTTAAATGTTTACTAAACTTTAACCACCCTGATAATATTGCACCCCTAAACCAATCTTATTTAGAAACGTTCCTGCTGGCTTAATATGCCAGCGGCATTAAAAATATATATATTTTTGAAATACCACAGTGTTCTGTTAGGTTTTAACAAATTTATTACCTCTAACTAAAGCACTATACTGTGCCTAGTACGTACTCACCCCTCATATGCCTCTTATAGTAAGACAATAATTCTGTTAGTTTAAAATTTAAGGTGAAAAAATATTTTTTTACAATTTTACTGTCCTTTACTTATACAGAGTGGCCCAAAAGTCTGAAAACGGCTAATTATCTCGTAAATTACTAGACATAATTATACAAAATTTGAGTTACGCTTATTTTGGGGTACGGAGATTCCATATTTGGTATTTTCAATGTTGCCAGATTTTCAGTTTCTCTTATATTACTAGTAACTTTGGTTTTTCAAATGCATCACCCTGTATATTCAGTCATTATTGGAATCTCCTATTAAATACGAGTTCAACCATATGTAACACTTATGATTTTATGTAGTCTGGAAGGTCTTAAATACATAAAACAGAAGTCTGGTAACGCCTAAATTGTTTCAATACAGTTTTTAATACTAACTATTTTCAAATACATTAAAACGTAACAATTGATAGTTTAGAATATTTTTTAACATAATAGTTACGTTATTAAGTGTTCAAAATGTGCTCCATTTGTGAGTTGACAGCACTCTAATCGATGGTAGAATGCGTCTACCACATTTCTCCATGATTGTCTAGAAATTATTCGAGATTCATCGATAATTCATTGCCTTAGCTATGCAAGACTTGCTGGTTAAGTTTTGGAAACTGAATTTTTCAAGTATCTCTAATAAAAATAATCTTTAGGATTGAGATCGGGTGAACGTGGAGGCCATTCAATTCTACCTTGTCTACCAATTTATGATCCGGGAAATATCTCATCTAAATAACGCCGAAAATTTACACCAACTATCTGACGTTAAATTTTTTTCCATAAAAAATGTCCCAATTAAATAAGTACCTACCATAACTGACCATACATTTAATTTTTGTGGTCTTTGAGTATGGTTTTTACGCATTCAGTGTGAATTTCACACGAGTTCAGCTATTCAATACGAGTTCAACCATATGTTCACTTGATTTTATGTAGTCTGAAAGATCTTAAATACATAAAACAGTGCAAAATATGTAGATTTTAATAAATTTAAATATTTAAATGGAGAATGCTCTGATTTTGACATTTGTTCACCATTTAAATTATGAACTAAAATTAACAGTAGTTGTGGTTCAAAAAGTTCTGCAATTTAAATTGCTTCTCTAAAATGCCGTTCTCTAAACCGTTTTCCTATTCATAAGACGACGGTACAAAAAGCTGTAAGGCGATTTGAGGAATCTGGAGAAGTAAAAGATAGATACCGATCAGGTTGACCGAAACGAGTTATCAATGACAACAAAACTTCAGATATAAGCAAAGTTTTGTTGAAGATCCACATACATCCCTAGGCAGGGTTGCACAAGTACATGATGTAGGTCATTCTTCAGTCTTACGTTTATTACGTAAAAATAAATTTAAATCATACAAAATTAACTTATTGCAAGAATTAAGTGAAGATGACTTTGGTCGTAGATTAGAGTTTACTGAGGTAATGATGGATAAAATTAAAAATTATTAAAATTTCGTTAACAGAATATGTTTTTCCGATGAAGCAACTTTTACACTATGTGGAAGTGTAAATCGACACAATTTAAGGTACTGGTGTGACGTAAATTCACACTGAAGACTGAATGCGTGAAAACCATACTCAAAGACCACAAAAATTAAATGTATGGTCAGATATAGTAGTTACTTATTCAATTGCGTCATTTTTGTCGAAAGAAATTTAACGTCAGATAGTTGGTGTAAATGTTCGGCGATATTTAGATGAGATATTTCCTGGACGATAAATTGGTAGACAAGGTAGAATTGAATGGCCTCCACGTTCACCCGATTTCAATCCTAAAGATTATTTTTATTAGGGATACTTAAAAAATTCAGTTTACAAAACTTAACCAGCAAGTCTTGCAGAGCTAAGGCAACGAATTATCGATGAATCTCGAATAATTTCTAGACAATCATGGAGAAATGTGGTAGAAGCATTCTACCATCGATTAGGGTGCTGTCAACTCACAAATTGAGCACATTTTGAACACTTAACAACGTAACTACTATGTTAAAAAATGCTCTAAACTATCAATTGTTACGTTTTAATGTATTTGAAAATGGTTAGTATTAAAAAAATTATTGAAACAATTTAGGCGTTGCCAGACTTCGGTTTTATGTATTTATGACCTTCCAGATTACATAAAATCATAAGTGTTAAATATGGTTGAACTCGTATTGAATAGGAGATTCCAATAATGACTGAATATACAGGGTGATGTATTTGAAAAACTTAAGTTACTAATAATATAAGAAAAACGGCAAATCTGGCAACCTTGTAAATATCAAATATGGAATCTCCGTATCCCAAAATAATAATAATGGATTAATTACGGCTGTCTCCGCTTCTCCGCCCTCAATTTCCATCTTTGTCTGTCACATGCAGTTGCCTCTTGTAAGTATCTTGCCGCCATTGCTTCATCAATATCGTTGCGCCAACTTCTCCGTGGTTGTCCCCTCTTTCTTCTTTCAGGATCCATTACAGTACTCTTCTAGGCCATCTGTACTCTGGTATTCTTTTAAAATGTCCAAACCAGATTAATTGTTTTCTTTCTATGTCATCATTAATATTTCGCTCCATTTTCATTTCGTTTCTTATTTGTTCGTTACTAACTCTCTCCAGTTTCGATCTACCGCAGCTTCGTCTCAGATAATCCATTTCTGTCGTCATAAGTTTGTTTCTATTAGCTTTGGTGACGTCCCATACTTCTGAGCCGTAAAGTGGAATACTTTGGACTATACTACCGTAAACGTGTTTTTTGGTTTCTCGTCGAATTGTTTTTTGCCAGAGAAGAGAGTTTAAGGCACGGGTCGCTGCTCTGCCCTTGTTTATTCTTTCCCTGATTTCATCTGCGCTATTTCCATTCTTGTTGAAAATGACCCCTAAATATGTGCAGGATTGCACGCCTTTGATTTTGTCGTCTTCCAAGACTAGGTCACATATTTCATCTGTTCCCACTGAGAGATATTCACATTTTGTCATATTCATGTTTAGACCTGCCACCTCATATTCTTCTTGCAGTTTTCTTACCATATAGCTGAGATCGTAGATGTCTTCGGCAATTACTACCTGGTCATCCGCAAAGAAAAGTGTATATAGCGTGTTTTCTTCCATCGTTATTCCCATGTTTCTACATTTTTTTACCCATTTCACTAAGGATCTGTCCAAATAGATTTTAAATAAGGTGGGTGACAGACAGCAACCTTGTCTTAGTCCCTTTGTTGTTTGAAAAAGGGAGGTGATTTCTTGTCCCTTTTAATTCTTGCAAAGTTTTGTTCGTAGTATTTTTGAGTGGCGTTAATAAGAATTGGGTTTATTTTCAAGTTACCCATTTCTATCCATAGTTGGGAGATCGGTACACTGTCATATGCGTTTTACAAATCTATTAAAGCTATCTCTCCTTTACTTATAACTTAAATAAAAAACTGTTCTGTTAAGTTTGACTTAAAGTTAAGTTAAACTAAACTTTGATCACCATGATAATTTCTCACCAATAAACCAATCTTATTTGGAATCGTTCCCGCTAGCTTAATATTCGAGCCAGCGGAATTGATAAAAATTATTTTTGAAATGTTCTGCTAGGTTTTTACGAATTTATTACCATCCTAGTAATTTTCACCCTCATTTACCTCATCTGGAAAGTCAACAATTCTTAGGTTAAAATTTAAGGTGACGAAAAATATATTTCCCATTAAGGGTGGTTTGGTGGTGAACAATTATTAGGGTGGTAATAAATTAGTGACAAATGGGTAAAAGAATATGCATCGGCAAAAAGTTTTTTTTTTCTGAATTCTGCAAGCTTGAACCTTAAGCCAGCAGAATCGCTGCCATTAAGTGTGGGTTGGTGGTAAAAAATTATTAGGGTGGTAATAAATTAGTGAAAAATGGGTAAAAACTATTATTGTTATATAATATGTATATATAATAAATTGTTAAACTGGATTCCGCTCATTTGTCCCCACCAGCTTAAGGGTCCTAAATTAGTGAATTGTGTTCATCAAAATACATAGTGTCAAAAAAATCTGGACTCCGAGGATTGTTGAATTCAAGTTTTGACCAATTTCCACAGGTTACGGGTGTATTTTACAAATTTGACTTTCTGTATTGTTTATAATTATTTTTAATAAGTAATGAGCTCGCTTAGTATATTGTTTGGGTTCGTACAAATCTAATCGCAAATTTAAACATATTGACGATGTTCTTAGATTTCATTTCGCTTGCAAACAAGATAAATAGATCGATGAACACTATTTACAACTAATAATTTGATATTCGCATTATTTTTAATTGATAAATAGTGATGTCATAAGATAATCATGCTTATGCAGGAGTATCATCAAGTCACAAGACCTTAACTCTGTATGTCTGGATCAAAAT